TGACCTTTCAAACATGTACAAATGAAATGAATATGAAATGAAGAAGGTTTGTCGCCTTAGCAATAATCCTAATCTTCCTAACAATCAAGGAAAAGGGCGCAAGGCTGGGTATTCAAACCAATCGCGCACTTATGGAATGTCTGGATCAAGGCGCAGAATAGCATAAGTTTCTCAATGGGTTGCCGTGAATAGCATGTGGCTGACCCGAAAAAAAGAAATCCCTTTCAGTGCAAAGGTCGATGCAAAGTTTGGGTGTTGAGTTTGAGTGAGGGTTGAGTTAGCTAACCAACCTGTTACCATAAGGCAACAACATATAGTCTTGTATAGACTCATAACGAGTCTTCCTGATAGTAAAGGTGACCTGCAATCACACACAGGTCAACACGGTCTCAACACCTTTTTGCAATCGACATGACCCTATCTGAAGTTCAATAAAGTGAACTTCAGTTTAGTCAGGAATAATATTACATCGATATAACTCCCCCTAGACAGCCTCTCTAACCTCTTATCAGACCAATCTCTTAGAGATAGTCGTCTAAAGGAAGAGAGGTATAAAACTCACATCACTTATACTTTTTGCCTTATCATACGATTCCCCATTTAAGACATGCACAAGCAAAACATCATCAACTCATCGAGAATAAAATCATAAGATGGATATGAATCAAGAGCTTAAGATAGCAGGACATGTCACACAAGGCCACATTCCTTTTACCTCCACCTCAGTAGAATCAGAAAGTGGTCTGTTAGTAATGGGTCGATCCCTTTTCAGGGCTTTCATTGTTTCCCGTCTATTGAGAAGATTAGTAACAGTACAGTAGACCACTTAGGATCTACTCATCTTCGTTGGGAGTCTGCTTGTGATAGGGCGGACCTCAAGGGTCTAGCTTCGCCTATATACTGTCTTGATTAGATCAAGGTCGGATGGTAATAAGGCGGGTTTCTCGGAGCCTCTCTCCTTTTACTACCACTTCCTTCATCCATGCGACTGGGCAATATGGCAGACATCTCGGTGCCTTGCTACTCTTACCACATTGTTAGTGACATCATTGTGATAAGGTAGGCTGCTCGGAGCCTTGCTACTTTTATCACATCGTTAGTGACATCATTGTGATAAGGCAGGCTGCTCGGAGTCTTGCTACTCTTATCACACTGTTCTTGTCATTATAGTAATAAGGCAGGCTTCTCGGAGCCTCGCTACTCTTATCACCCTGTTAGTGACGTCATTGTGATAAGGCAGGCTTCTCGGAGCCTTGCTACTCTGATCACATCGTTAGTGACATCATTGTGATAAGGCAGGCTGCTCGGAGCCTTGCTACTCTTACAACATTGTTAGTGACATCATTGTGATAAGGCAGGCTGCTCGGNTGATAAGGCAGGCTGCTCGGAGCCTTGCTACTCTTACAACATTGTTAGTGACATCATTGTGATAAGGCAGGCTGCTCGGAGCCTTGCTACTCTTATCACATCGTCCAAGTCATCATAGCGATAAGGCAAGTTTCTCGGAGCCGTGCTACTTTTATCACACTATTCTTGTCATTATAGTGATAAGGCAGGCTTCTCTGAGCCTCGCTACTCTTATCACCCTGTTAGTGACGTCATTGCGATAAGGCAGGTTTCTCGAAGCCTTGCTACTCTTATCACATTGTTAGCGACATCATCATGATAAGGCAGGTTGTTCGGAGCCTTGCTACTCTTATCACATTCAGCAAGTTTTACGAGGTAACTCGGTCGTTGCTTTTGGCGCCACTTAAGCCCTGGATCATTCGGAAGCCTTTAAGACCATGCGGTAGGCTATATGAGACTTATACCCTCATGTCCTAAGCTCGTTCGTCTGATCCCTGACTGTGTTAGCTTTGGACTTTTTGAGAGTATGTAAGCATAGTCAAGAGTTAGTTGATGCGTTCCATCATCACAGCGTCTGTTCATATTATGCATAAGTCTTCAATCCACTGTGAACCCCATCCTTATCACTAGTAAGGTGGTCTTTTAAGCAAGGAAGATTGCACGGAATCAATCCCCCTGCGGCCACATCCGCCCAAAAGCATTCACATAGTGAGACATTTACTCATAACTTCTCGTTCTCGCTATGTTTATCAGCAACAGTTAGTCATACCCAGTCCCTTTCCGTCAGATCATGGTAGATGAACTGCGCACCGCATTGTCTCACTCGATTGGCTGCGCAAATTGTCGTATGTTCACTTGATTGGTTGCGCACAGTGTCTGCTCACTTAATTGGTTATGCAATGCACCGCTCACCCAATTGGCTGCGGACAGTCCCGCCTATCCGCGGCCCATCAGTTTTCGGCCAACTCACCGCTATAGTCGGTGATAAAAAAAACAGAAATAAAATAAAATAAAATAAATAAATAAAATCAGGAAGGCTGATATGCAAGGAATATGAGCGGGAACGATATACTCAAAAGTCTAGTAACTGCAACAGAAAAATTGTGGCAAATTTTCTGACAGGATGATCACATGTGGACACCATATTTCAACCGTTGGAACTGTGTTTATAAACTGTTTGGCAGGGAGGGAGTCATGTGTTCCACCAGAAGTGAAGAAAACCAACGCTGACCAAACATTGAGAAAACTGAAACTGGTGTGTCCATTTGTTGGTCCATTTGTTGAAAGGATGTTGGTCCATCTGTTGACCATTTGTTGAAAACTTGTTGAAACGTGTTGAAAACTTGTTGAAACATGCTGAAAACTTGTTGAAATGTGTTGAAAACTTGTTCACCTTTCGTAGAACGTTACGTTCTATGTTGGGGAAAAAATCGAAATTTTTGGCTCATGTCGTCGGTTTTCGCGGTTTCTTCCCGTCTTTTTCTCCTGCTGCACGATACACTATGCTCTTTCGCAAATGTCAATCGTTGAGTCTTCCAGTACTCCTGACATGCAACGACCACAATGACTGAAGATAGATAGATAGATAGATAGAGAGAGAGAGAGAGAGAGAGAGAGAGAGAGAGAGAGAGAGAGAGAGAGAGAGAGNAGAGAGAGAGAGAGAGAGAGAGAGAGAGAGAGAGAGAGAGAGCTGCAAGCAGGGTTCACTACTGCGTGACACAAATTCTCCAACATGGGAGTGCGAGAGAGAGAGTGGCACGCAGTAGCCAACCTTTGTTTTTGATTGGTGCTGGATTACGGTATTTCATTTTGCTGATGGACGAGTGAGGGAGCGTCGATTAAATGCTGAGTTGCCCTGCTACAAGCACGGTTGACTACTGCGTGACACAAATTTACCAACATGGCAGTCCGCGAGAGAGAGTGACACGCAGTAGCCAACCTTCCTTTTCGAGTCTGTAGGATTGCTGTACTTCATTCTATGGACGGACGCGTGTGGGAGCCTCAATTAAATGATGAGATGCCCTGCTACAAGCTCGGTTCACTACTGCAGGCCACAAATTTACCAATATGGTTGTCCGCGAGTGAGAGTGGCACGCAGTAGCTAACCTTCCTTTTCGAGTCCGTAGGATTGCTGTGCTTCATTCTATGGATGAACGTGTGAGGGAGCTTCAATTAAATGTTGAGCTGCCCTGCTGCAAGCACGGTTCACTACTGCGTGACGCAAATTTAGCAACATGGTGGCATGAGAGAGAGAGTGGCACGCATTAGCCAACCTTGCATTGAGGACAACCACGGATGATGTTTTTTTCATAACATAGTCGCTCTAAGGCCAATTACACAAAGATGAGCATTACAAGGGATTGTACAATTGTGTATCATAAATAACAGACCATATGTTGTAAAGTGACTGTTCAAGTACCATGGTTCAGAGTCTTCATCTCCCCTCCTCTCTCTCTCTCTCTCTCTCTAGAGCTGCAATGACTGTGACCTTGTGTAATGAATCTTCTGATTTATAGATTCTATAATGAACCTTCTGATTCACACTATTGTGTTCACCACCTCTCCCCCTCCCCCTGTTCAAGGTTTGGCGCACAGACTTTTTGTATCCCTCTCCCCGACTCTGCTTCTCTCATGCAGTGGTGCAATAAACTCCACGTCGAAATCGTCATCCGTTATTGTTGTGTTCTGTGGCCCGCTCCTGTGGACAGAGGGCACACCATCTCGAAATAGCGCAGCAACCTTCTCAGCAACAGATACGGCACGGTCCAGCTTGAAGATCGAAAAACTCAAGACTGTATCGCGGCTGCGGACAGATGATGCGATGTCCTGCTTTATAGAGACCAATTTTCCTATTTGCTCCGCCGCTCTGCTGGTCTTTGTTGTCTACTCCATTTCACATTGCAGAACCATCTCTGCAAAAGCCAGTTGCTGCAGGGTCACGCCAAGGTTTACGCCGTCCCTCCTCATCTGGAAAACCTTGGTGAAAGCCCTTGAAGGTTGGGGCGCCCCAAGAATCGTCGCCGCTCCGTCTCCACATTTTGTTCTCCTTCATCTCTGCTCACATCTTGTTGCGAGTAGGGAGCTTGTGATTTGTTTGCTGCGATCGTACAAACGGGATCCCTTTTTCAGCCCAGAACCAATGTTTCAGTTGCCATGTTATCTCTCCACGCACGGTTGTCATCATTCTGTTGCACTCCCCTATGACTGCTCGAATCCCGCACTCCGCTACGTGTGATCGCAGTCCTTCCCCCGCGTTCTCCCCTATCAGTTTGGCCGTTGTTTGCAGCGCCGTGAAAAATTCATCCTCTGTTGGGTACAGAGTTGCGTCCTTTGTTGCTTAGAACGCAAAGGCTTTTGCGACCGACCGGAACAGTCTGTCCTTCATTTTCTTCAAGAATACGCCGCTTCCTTGATTGGCTTGTTGCTGTCCTCCCCTGCTCGCGCACACTTTTCTTTGCGAGTTCCTGCCATCTGTTGGAAGACACACATTACAACGCACATAATAATATTAAGAACTCGGCATTTCACACCCATTTTCACACCTGCGATATTCGACAGTCCGTTTCAACTGTTCGTTCATCACAACGACATCCTCGCATTAAGGAAATACCATCACTTTACGTTGTTACCATGTAATCGTTGTGCAAGAGGAGCAACTGCAACACATTTTGTTTACCTTTTTGAACTGCATTGTCGTGCCTCACTACTTGTCTGTCAATCGAGGGCGCGTCGGCTGCGCCTCCCTCGCCGTCACTTTCGGGTTTCTTCGTGCGCCGCGTTCTTCCCGGAGATTGGGAACTCTCTCTTCCATCCGCGCTTCTGTCATCTTCGTCTGCCCCGTCATCGCCCTCGTCCTGCCTTGTGTCGTCGTTGCTCCTGCCGTCCTCGTCATCAACGTCGCGAGTGTCGCGACAAGTCCGTCGGAAGTTTCACTGTCACCTCCTTCGTCACTTGTTGCCTCGTTTTCCTCCCCGTCAGACTTTTCTGATATGGACTGGTCGTGTTCCTCTTCTGCTTCCTCTCGGGCTGCGCTGTGCATATTCTCCGAGCCTCTCAGATCAATCATCTCCACCATTCTGTCCTTTTTGTATGTGATTCTCTTCTTTGTCCTGCGGTGCACCTTTGACATTCCGTCTTCCCGCGACCACTTCTCGGGGGCCTTGGGTGGACGGTTCTCGACGCCACTGACACGGTTCCGTGGGGCAGGAGTCGCAGGGGGTGACTCATTGCGTTCTTTCAGCTTTGAAATCTCCCTCTGACTTGATGGGAGAGAAACTTTTGATCCGTTTCTGCGGCTATTGGTCCGCTGCATTTTTGCATTCCGGGATCCGTTCCTGCGATGCTCTCTGGTTTCTTTTTTCTTATCAGCCTTGCATTTCTTCCTCCCCTTGTCCTTCTTTCCCACGGCCTTTAAAGACCTTCACAGATCCTCGTATTTTGGCCTTGGAGCCATGACCTTTTTTCTCCCCACATTCATCAAAGTGGAATACGAACAACAACTGCGTCAGCAATGTCGTGTGTCGATCCATACACCCCTGAAGTGTAATGGTCGCATTGAGAGAGAGAGAGAGAGAGAGAGAGAGAGAGAGAGAGAGAGAGAGAGAGAGGCACAACCAAGAAGTTATTGTTGATACCGCGACGTCATTTAAGTTACCAACCTCTTTGTGCGTCAGAATGACTGTATCTCTATTGTAAAGCGGCACGGGTTCGCATAGTCACAATAACAAAAAAAAAACAAAAACAAAAAAAAACTTGGAATACGTCCCCGACCATCACCGCGAGAAGGTTGGCTACTGCGGGTCAATCAACTGGTCAAGCCAGCGGTCTTTATGTAACAAATGCTCGCAGTAGTGAATTTTCCTCGCATCGTCCTTTGACGAGCTCAACGACAATTCGAGGCTTACAAAGTGTTGCTCTATCTTCTGTTTATGACGCATCTCAACGAAGTCACTATGTGTGAGGCCGCGACTGTGCCGTTACCTTTTGTAACTGCAGCACAGCGAGCGAGCCGGTCCACCATAGACTGGCGAAATTGATGATCAGTTCTTTCGTTCACCGTTGTTCTTTTAACAACTTATAGTACGTCCTTGGCTCTCACATCCTTCGGTGCAGTTCTTGCAAGAAATTCTATTACAGTGTCAGCGATGCAACACACTTAGACACCACAGTCCGTGTAATTGTTCTGTTGCGGGCATTCTGCATGCAAAAGTTTACTTCCTAGTAGATCTCTGCATGTCACTCATGACGTATGAACCTTTTCCGGTGTCAACACCCCCGAGTTCGATGCCTCGTGGAGGTACTCGTGCCGCAGAATGGTTCGCAAGACCTTCCATTAATGTCAGTCTGCTCTTCTCTCGTTCTCGTCATGTCCCCGACTTTCGTTTTTCCCTTAATGTCGGATGACTCTTCGATTATTAACTGGGGAGACTTTACTTCACCCTCTGTCATTATATCGTACATTTCCACGTACCAAGGGTCCCTCAACATTTTTTGCCACCTCTTTGCTGACCTCTCGATGGTCAATGGCAACAACGGTTCGCTTGCCACCTCTCTGCGGTAATCTTCGTCTTTATTTTCCATCCTTGGACCGGTGACCGGTTTTGTACCTACATATGACCACTTCGCGCCGCCATCACACGTGTTACTTTTCTGTGACTCTGTCATCACCGCTCAACTTTTCTTACCTGCACCCTGTTATTCAGTGATCTGTGTCGCTCCTTTCTGAATGCTGCGCGACGTCGTAAGTTTCTATTCCTGTTCACACGTGTCGGTCAAAATGGAATGACACAGACGATTTGTTAAGTTTTTTAACAACTTGAAATCATTTTTATAGGATACTTGAGAGAGAGAGAGAGAGAGAGAGAGAGAGAGAGAGAGAGAGAGAGAGAGAGAGAGGTTGGCTACTACATGCCAAAACTGAAACCATGTCACTGTTGACCACATAAATGTCACGCAGTAGTGAACTTTTGGGGACACTTTCGTCGCGCATGTTGTTTTCACTGCTTCATAAGCTTGGCCACATTCGACATGATATTTCTCAACAAAGAACGGAAAGAAAGAGACGAGTGTCCTCTTTTGTTCCCTTATACTTCGGAAGAAACAACATGACCGTCTCGTGGCGACGATAGATACACAGACATACAAAATTCGTCAAACTTTTGATGAAGGGCGTTACGACGCTTCTCTCTCTTTCTCTCTCTCTCTCTCTCTCTCTCTCTCTCTCTCTCTCTCTCTCTCTCTCTCTCTGTCATAGCAAACATAAAAACTTTGCATTTGTTTCTTCTACAATATGTACTTGTTCAAATAAAAACAGTACTCATGTTGTTTTGCATGCTGCTTCGATCCCCATTGTGGTTAAGAGAAGCGCGAAACAATGTGAATTGTGTCTACAATAGTGTCAGTCGAAACGACGCTACTGTGTTGATGTCCATTCAACTTCTCCCATTTCAATTTCTTGCAACCTGTCATGTGTTCCCGTTCACTGTCGACCTCCTTGTACCATTGCACAAATCCGCAGCTGTGTTCCACCGTTGTCCGCGAGTGCGTCCACGACAAAAAACATGGCTACTGATGCAAACCATCTGCATTCGTTGCCTGCTCTAATTGCGGCGTCACTGTGCACTGGTCTCCCATGGAACTGTGGCGACGCTCTTGCAGTTTGAACTAGTGTGCCCTTGTTTGTTCCGTCGTATACACAGGTGATGGTCAGGTGTGTCTGTGTGTGTATAAGCAGGTCGTCAGAAGGAGGTTGACAACCATTCTCCACCATGTATGTCGTAAGCGCAACTCGAAAATCGCGTCTGCAAGGAAGTTCTTTGAGTATCTTACACGCATGGTTGTCAATGCCTTCTCCCTCGCGTATATACTCGTCATCGATGTCGGACCACCGCAGTTGCAGCATTGTCGTATCGCGTAGTGCGAGGGCGTTAATTCCGGTGGCCATGCAGTCTGTCACGGACGACCGGTTCTCAACTGTTCTCTTCCTCCGTTTCCTCACGATCTCGGTCTCTTCGCGCAACGCCAATGACCGGCGTACGTGGTTTACCATCTGGGTTGAAGCTTTCCACTTGTTTGATGATAGGTATGGTTGTTTGCAGAATTTCCTGTGGTGATGCTCCCAAACATCTGTCGTGAAGGTGTCGGGGACACCGGATCGCTCAATACACGTTCTCAGATGTATAAGATCATGCAACTTGGAGAGTTTCCATGTTGATGGTTGATATTTTTTCAATTTTGCTTTGATGGTCCTTATGAAGTCCGTGATCAAAGTGTCGCATTCATCGAGTGAAGCACGAGTGTGTGTTGTACACCGAAACACTCGTATGTACATTTCCATCAGTTTCACAAAACAAACGGTAATGCCCTTGCCTGTCGAGAGCGGGATAATATTAGAAATAAGGAACACGCACACTTGCATCACAACCCGGTTTCGCTTCGCCTCGAACCGTCCTTCCCTTGAAAAAAAGTTGTTGCCAGTGACCACCGGCAGCACAAGTTGGGGGTATGTTCGTGTGCATCTCTCACTAACGCTTTGCAACCTTGCATCTAGTTCCTTCAGGATCTCTGTTTGTGGTAAGTACGACAACTTCTCAAAGGTTGCGGTCCTAAATGCGTCAATCATGTGCAGGAATATGCCATGCTTGATTGTGTGTATACGGTCTGGTTGCAATGACAGATGGTAGTCTAGTTGAGGATCGTCACCATTGGGGCCCCTGTAGAACCCCCAAAGGTCGTTCTGTTGAGCATGCCTATGCATGTTCAACTCCGACATTCGTGCTTCCGCTGCACGGCGAACGTCGATATCGTCGGCGGTGAACACATCTGCTGTGAGGTGTGTTTCCAGCGTCTGTGATCTCCTGCAGTCTGTGAAATCGGCTATGACATAAAAATCGTTTTTGGACACGGTGCATGTCGGACATACACCAAACTTCACAGTTGCAATCGCACATCATTCTGGGTAGTCTTGGATATAGTTGAGGAGGAAAGGGTGGACAGTTATGTCCCCGAATCACGTTGTCGGTATCATTATTCCGTCATGAGATGCCTCTTTCTCAGACTGCAACACCACTGAAAGAGCCTTGTGCAAAATGATGGCCTTTCCCTTTCTGAATGCGGTGTACTGCAGACCCCATCCTTTGTCACATGGACGATGATGAAGCACAGGAAGATAGGCCAGTAGTGCAGCTTCGGATGCGTGATTGGCTAGTGACATCATCAGAGGGTACGTCGTCTGTTTTTGACGATCGTCTGTATGTGTCTTGTCGGAATACGACGAAAGGATAACATAACGTGGATTACCATTCTCGTCCACACCTTTGTCCGCTCGAATGATCGACTGGATGTGATAACTTAGCGCCCCGCTGCGCAGGCCGGATATACTGAGGTGCTCTAACGGCGGAGATACTTCTAGAGAAGATACCGTCTCGCATTTCTGTATTGCGATATGAAAAATCGACAGAAATGTCGTTCGCCAGTCGCGATGCCGCAAGATGGTGTGCGCATCTCGTGGCCAATCGTCACAACGTAGATCCAACTTTTTTCATCCAGCAGCCTCTGCTAGACTCCCTGCTCATGTCAAACACTCTCGACTATTACGATACGCGATGTCTCTCGTGCTGAATCTCGGGTGTGTGAGAAGTGACAAGAGAGCATCTATGTCACTCTGCGACATACCGACGCCTCCCCTCACGGAGAAAATCAGTGCCGCCAGCTTGCGAGAGCTGTCAAAAGACTTGACAGGCTGCGGTTGCTGCTCTTCGAATGTCCCGCCCTCCCCGTCTATATTCTTGGGGGCTCCGACATCCTCGCTCTCATCGCTCACGATATTCACTGCACCTATACTTGATGATCCGGCGTCATCGACACCACCCATCTCCTGCCCATGTGTTCTTTCGTCCGCCACGACCGGGCATGACCTCGCACGATGTGAGTTCAAAGTTCGTAATGATATGAAAAACCTGCCACAGTCGCACACCCGTGGACTGCTGTCCATTTTCTGTGCACGCAGTACATTCAAAAAAGAAACAGAGCGGTGCGGACAGTGTTTTGATTAACATTTTGTACATTGGCTCAGGTCGATTGAATTATAAGTTGCAGAGCATATTTTGTTATATTGTGTAAGTGTTGCACATCCTCTTCTCTGTGAGAGAGAGATAGAGAGGGAGTACTGATTGTCGTTTTTGGTACGAATGGTCTGTGTCACAGATCCCGATTGACAAAGATTAGTAGTCAACTGTGCGACACGATAATTTATATGCCATGACAGGTTCTATGGTCGTGTTGGAAGAGGCAACAACTTGCACATGGTACACGATATATGACACAACATTCATCACCACGTTTGTGCGGCTGCCCAAGTTCGCAACTATCCATCCACAACATTTGTGAATGTGGTATGTGTTTTCCATGTCCGCGTGAAAATGATTGCACCTCGGCACCTCAGCCGACCTCCGCAACCACTTCTAAAACATTTCACAACCTAGTACATTTGAATTTAAATTACAGAGAATGCAAAAAAAAACACAATATACACACATTGGTCATCACAGGGGGTATGATGTGTCTCACGTACTCCAAAAGGCAACAAATTATGACATACATCATAACAATCATCAAATGATTAAAATATTGTTCAATCCTGTGTCTGCACGATGTAATGAAACACATGTACTTAGAGAGGCAAACAACAGGCAGCATGACACAGAACCCGCAGATGGATGTACAGGTTCTAATATAGCTACAACTCGACATATGTGTGTGTGTGAGAGAGAGAGAGAGAGAGAGAGAGAGAGAGAGAGAGAGAGAGAGGTTCACTAGTGCGGGCCAGAACGACAACAAACAGCACAGGTGGACACTGATATGGCACGCAGTAGTGAACCCGACCGTCGTTGAAATTCAGGCAGACATTGAGGGATGTACAGGTTGAGCTTCCCATGCGTATCAAAACGTATGTGCACTGGTTGTTTGTACTACCACTCTATTGCTTTATGCTATGCATGGCTGTCATCATCCCTGATGTCTAACATGGTCTGTCGTGGTGTGTGGGTGTGTCTCTGGTCGCTGCCGTGGCCGAGCACTAACTATTGCATCTCCTGTTGACAAGCCGGGGTGCAATGTCTCTCCCCAAGCTATCGCCAGTGCGCCGTGTATGAGGCAACTGAGGTTGACTCCCCATGTCAGTGACGTTGCTAGCATAGCCTCTCTATTGACCAAAACAAACCATCCCTTGCCAACACGTGACCACTTTTTCCTTCTGTTGCATGATTTCATTATGCTGGTCACTGCGGCATATTGTAGTGCACTATCTGGTGTTGCCACCTTCATCACAACACGAAGCACTTTGCGCGGATCGGGAAAAGCACGTGCCAACCTCAGAATTGCATGTGCTCCTCTTTTGTCACTTGTCCACCCGCCCTCTTCAAATCATAGTACACATCATGTTCCTCGTCTTCCTCGTCGCTGCTGACATCGCTGCCGCTCACTTCCACGTCAGAAGATGATGCCCCCTTATCCTCTTCTTCATCTTCTTCTTCTGCATTGTCTGTGTACTTTGCAAAACAACTTGGCAAATCGGTCTCTTCAAATTCACGATCACACTGTACTTTCTCCATTGTGAAAGCATTGAAGATATCGGAATACACTAGCTCCTCTCTTGTTGCTGTGTGCATGGGAGGCATATCGACTGCCATACTGGTTATTGATTCTTGTGTTGCTGATGTCTGTCCGTTGTCTGGAATGATTGCTAAACTTGTTTCCCTTACCATCACCTTCCACCCTTCTTCTCTTCCTCTTTGTCTCTCAACATCGCAACTTGCAAGACCGAGCCGCTCCAAAGCAGCTGATAACAACTCCCCCCACAACGGTCTCCCAGATATGATGTTGTCTTATGTTCTTGCTGGCACAAATTGTATCAGTTCTTGACCCTGCTGTGCAAACTCTGTGACTTCGTGCAACGCCTCATGGATGACGTTCCTGTCGTCGGCACTCTTTTTCAGGAAGTCCACAAGTTGATCTAGCAGAACATATTCCACACTATCTGCAACAATGACAGGAACATCTTGAAAGTCTTCTGGCGGTGTTTGTGTAATGTCCTTCATTCTGGACAACACCAAAATTTATGCAGCACCACTCTTCAACTCGTTCTTCGACCCATCAACAAGTATTTCCCCATTCCTTGCCACAGTGCCCAGCAACTTCTTGAAATCCGAAGGTGTGTATGTCCCCTCTTTCTGCTGCATTGTCATGTCCACGTCTCCTTCTTCACACATCCCTTCGCTGCACATTCACTAGACCACTCCTTTTAGACTGTATGCACTGTCTTCTACATCATTGTCCACACGTACATGTGGTGACACTCTGAAGCGTTGCAAGAGTATTCGTGCTTTGACACAACCCTCGCTGTTTGCCATGATCGTGGATCTCATATCCACACCGACTATGAAGTACCTCGGCACCCTACCCTTAAGCAAAGACAACTCATTGTCACCGTTGTAGTGGACGCCCTCCTTTGCATACTTCATTACCTCTGCAAGCGCAACCTCCACCTGTGCTACTGACATCGACATGATGCGTACGCTTTGTCTTCCGTCCTCTTCTCTCTGCCAGCGGAAACGCACAATGACGTCAACGACTCTCTCTCTCTCTCTCTCTCTCTCTCTCTCTCTCTCTCTCTCTCTCTCTCCACCCATATCCGCGTGTGTGTATCTGTGACGCTGTGTGTGTGTGTGTGTGT